GTTACCTTTCTTTCCAATGTTATCCGAGTATCTTATATCTCACTTCTCAGAAAGGATCTTTTGTAGATTGGAAATCAATAAGTTATCGATAATATCAAATAATAGTTAAATGCTAAGAATTGGTACACAAAATATTAGGCGGGTCCAAAAGTTCGTGCCTTTTTTTCTACCTATCTTCAAATCATTCAGAATAAAGATAGACAAACACTCTAAAAAGTGTTCGATGCAGAATTTTTTCCTCTTTCCAGCAGTAATGTTTTTTGGATTCCTTTGATGTCTTTTCAAATAATCGCCACAATCTCCAGCCCATACATTTTACATAGAGAATTTTAATTTTAGCCATTTTTTAAATTTACGTTTTGGACTTTTGGAATGACTTTGATAGAAGCTGGATAGAATAGCAAAGTGTTACAAGACCCATTTTATTGGCATCGATAGCTGGCTTGTCATCGCTGAAACAAGTTTTCCAAAAGTGTTCGCATTTGCGAGGTTGTGAAATATACAAACGCTCAAACAGCTTCCCAAAATTGATTATGATGAAACCCCAAACAAATGAGTTTTAAACTTCTCGAAAACTGATTGTTGAAATTTTCGGGTGCAGCTTGAGAACGCATCAAAAAACTAGAATTATGGTAATTTTTCCTCGAGGCCTTTATGAATTAGAAAGAAGAAACACCTGTCAAAGGGAGGAGAAGAAAGTGCATCAAGTAACACTCTAGCAGTTTGCCTTCTGATTTTTTACGATTTGGGATAAACAAATATCAAATTTAGTAGCATCAAAACGAGAACTTTAAAAAACTTGAAAAGCTAGCTATCGATGCCTGAAAATTGCATTACGTTGCATTTTGTCTACTCCATCTGACTATTATCAGGGTAATTCCGAAAGTCCCGAATTAAAATAGAAAGAGTCAAGTTAGGTAAAAACCATGGGTTGAAGGTTTTGACGATTTTCCAAGCAAATATCAAGGGTTCCGAACAGAAACACTGATACTGGAAAGATGAAGAATTGCGAACCCTTTAGAGTGTTTGTGCTTTATTTCGAACGAGCTTGCGAAAGACACACACACAGACACACACATTTTAACATGAATGCACACATTATTTTCGAACATATCCGGAAAACTACTTGAAGTGCGCCTCTTGGCGCTGCTCTTTGCTTACAGAAACTTGGAATAAGACGTAGCGCTCCTTTACACCCTACTCAAGCAAATGATCTTTTAAGCTTTTGCTTTTCTCTATGAAAGTAAATGAATCAATATATCGATGTAAGGACCTGGTGACTCGTCGCAAAACGTAGCCTATCTTTTGGCCGTGGCTTGTTTATGGGGGAGCAAACTTCATCCTCATCAATTCACAAACAAGAAAATCTATAAGCCACATACTTACTAACAAACTTTTGAAACAAACTAACTCAACAAACTAAATTTACAGAGTTTGAGTTTTATTTATTAGGTTGGAAACTAGTTTTGCAACTGGTCTCATAACTTCCCTCTCACTCAACGTGGCGCACTTAAATTTTGCCACTGCGTTGGTTACTACGTAAGATACAAGCGCAGCTGCTGTCCTACCAAATTCTGACATCGCAATGAGGGTTACGGTAGGTGCATGCTATAAAGGGGAAAAATTCAAAGTTTGACGGATTTGGCTGAAACTTGGCATAAAGGTGTTATCCGACATGCTAATTACGAAAACGATATTTAAATTGCCTGATAACGGCTTTTTTGTAGGATTACTGTAGGTGTACGATATGGGATCTCATGCTAAACAAGGAAAAACGCGTTGATTCATCGAATGAATGTGATATTCGCGTTTAGCAGTTCAAATAAGCTTACTATGTAAAGTCTCGGCGGAATTTGAGCTTCTGACTCTTTAGTCATTGACGGTCGTCCTCAGCAGCTCTTGCGTCCATCGACTCGTTCGACTTTATGAGGACGCCAAATCTCAACATGCTTTTGAAATTTTGTTTCTTTCATACTAGGCCAAAGGAGTCAACCTAGCAACAAATTGTAGACGAATCCGGATTACTGCGCATGGTCTAGGCTGCCAAAGGCTTCATTTTAGCTCAATACCCCAAAAATTCTCAAATTTCACTAGTTTTCGAAAAACGCCTAAAACTTTTCTATTTCGTGATCAAAATTTAGACGATTTGTGCTTTCTTGTAGCCCACATTGCCTTCTACATAACGCCAAAGTTTGAGTGCGCCATGTCCAAAGAGAGTGAAGTTATGAAACCAGTTGCAAAACTTAGTTTCCAGCCTAATATATATGGATAATTTGAGGATAGGCCTAAAAACGGCACGAACTTTGAACCCACCTAATGTATTGCTATATGAAGTCATATTTTGGGGTCAGATAGTGGAAATGCAATCACTTTGCTGAAGTTGCTGTCACAATGATCTGTAAGTCAAACAAAGTGCAATGGGTTTTGAAGATGTCGTTTGCGTCAGCTTGCTAAGCTGCAGTGCCTTCTGTAAGGATGCTGCATGACGAACAGGAAGTATGGGAAATGGGATTTTTGTATACTAGGAAAACCCGTGATTGTAGGATACTTATCCTAACAGCTTTCAATTTCAAAATCAACAACGTACGATTCTTCCAAAAGCGTCTGCATACCACGTCAGGTCAAATTCTCCTTACTGCGATATGGGATCCTCTTTCCGTGTCTTGACACTTGTTTGCACTGCCGATTGGCGAATGACTATCCGCTTGCAGGATTTTGGTGCAGGGAGGAGGCGGGCTCCACGCAAAAGCATACAAGCCGTCCGCCAAATGCGGTAGTGGGGTCGGGTTTGGGAGTGAACTCAGCAGCGAGTGCAACTAGGCGTGCTTACTAGGCAATGCCTTAATGGCAGTGGATAGGCAATTCATGCGCTAAGTCCTGAAAAAGCGCTTCAAAACTTTACCAGCCTGCTTATTACAGGGTTTGAACGGCAAGATGGACCACTATCAGATTTTGGTAGTATTAGGTAATACACCCCCCAAGTATACCGTTCAAGCCCTGTAAAAAAAGCTTCAAAACTCTACCGGCCTCACTCACTTCCACTGAGCGGGTAGGCTGGTGGAGTTTTGAAGCGCTTTCTCAGGACCTAGCGCATGAATCGGAGGACAAGGTTAGGGCTATGAAGTGAATGGGGGTCTACTATCTGAAATTATCAGAATCAGACATGGGGCCCATTTTGCCTATCTTCTGCCTTTAATTATTCCACCAAAATCGATTTCCAATTATCCTCATGTTTCCAAATTTGCATAATATTTCACTGCCCTCGAACATATATTGTTGCGCTTATACTGTTCCAATCATTCTCGTATTTAGGCAAAGAGAGGGAACATGCTGTAAGAATTACAAGATTTAGTTGTGATTTGTAGCAATGCTGTTAGAATCGGGTTACTTTATTCTAACGAGCTGCGCATTTGTAAAAAATTTTTGCGGCAAGAACGCTCATTTTGGGCTTGATTGACGTGGTGAGAAATGCTTGGAAAGATTGTCAGCCGCAGAGCGGTATATTCAAGTTATTCAGCAGCCTAAATGGCCTGTTTGCATCAAAATTTTTCTCCCACCCTGCTTGCATAATCAACGCAGAGTGTGCGAGCACCACAGCGATCCTGTATGTAAATGTGTTAGCAGCGTTGATGTGCAAATCATGCCCTGTATTCTTTCGTAATACAGCACTTTCCCTTACAATGCCCGTGAATATCGGGAACATGCAACTATCATTCCTTTTGAGCTCTACAAATGTTACATTTCGTCCTCGTTTTTAACAACATGAATCAAAACCAGCAAGTACCAACTGTAAGACACATGCACGGAATTGTCAAATTCTAGTTACAGAACATCTAATATGATATAAAATGAAATATGGACGAATCGCTTGAAGAAAATGTGCATTGATAGAAACCACCTAACAGTTTAGCAATTTAGCCATTGATATATCGGAGCAAGACTCAGAAAGATTCAAATTAAAGTTCAAAAGTCGGTAAAATCTCTATCAATATACCTCTTACTAGAGCACGAGTTTACACCTAACCTTACAAGACAGGACAAAAGGAGTTGGTTGTATCACGGCAAGTATTACAGGACTTTATACTTTCAAATATATAATCCTGTGCTTGAGGCAAAACAGTAAAGCTATTAATTGGGCTGAAGGTCATATGACACATCACGTCTAGCGATTCTTTGAGGCAGCGGCTCTGCAGAATAACGAGTTTGGGATATTCGACGTACTCGGTTCCGATGAGCCAAATCTAAGACTGTGCTTTGCAGCTTCAAAAATATCAATATCCCGCTTCTCCAGACGTGAACAGTGCTATATGGGCGGATCGCGAATGTGGCTGCTGGAGAAAATAATCCAATTTTCTCCAAGATGGCTACGGTGTCTCCACTCACGGGCCAATCGAGCTTTAGGGGGCAAGCATACGCCGTCCGTTTGAATAGCACTTTTCACGTCTGGAAGAGCAGGTTATTGATATCTTTTGAAGCTGCAGAGCACAGTCATGGACCTAGCTTATCCAGGTTAACCACGATGAGTATCCCAAAGTGATCATTTTGCCGGGCCGCTGTCGTTAAATCAGCGCGAGAACTGAACATTTCAGCAATTGCCTAGGACATTGTTCTCGGAATCTCTCGCTTTCTATTCGAGCACCCGCGTATAAGCTGTAACGCCTTCGCTCTTGTAGGATTCTGGAGAGCATAAAAGCTTTTGTATGGCAATTCAATGCAATTGTAAGAAAATAAGCGTGCAATTGCTTAAAGGAAAGCGCAGCTATCGATTTTTGGGCTGTGCTCAATAAAATCCAGTACTTTCTCAGATTTACTGTTACTATTTACTTTTGCGCTCACCTGATCATTACCGGTATTCAAGAAATACATTCTGTCAAATTGAACATTTCGTGATGTCTTCGATGCTTAGTTTGCATGTTGGATTCAAACAAAAGCCTAAATGGTTTTGATGCGTGTGAGCATAATTATTCAATATCTAAAGTGGCTTCCGCAAGATGATATAAAAACTACAATCGCATATATTGGAGCAGACTCACAACATCGCCATCAATCTGGCTTCCGGTCCATCCAAAGGCTGTGCTTCTGATAGCTAATAATTCAGAATGCTCATCATTCTCGCAGCTACGCTAGTCCTACTGTCATCGTTCACGGAGACAGCTGCTCCAGAATACAAAAGTAAAGCGCGGTGAAGTTTTCCGTTGCATGATCCTTTCCTAAAAATCAGACTTTGTTCAGGTGCTTCGGAAATTTTCAAAGATTTGGCCGAATTTAGTGATGCAGAGTTTGAAATATATAAGAAGGACCTATATGTAGACAAAAAAGTGCTGGCGACTTGAACTGTTTTTTTTCTTGAAGTTATTCGGTCCAAAATTTGAAACCCGGTAATTTCAGTCATCCACAAAACCGGAGCACAAAGTTCTTGCAGACAAGATAAAAAGAATGGAGATGAAAGCAACAAAGCTAATGAAGCCTGCTCGAACGTTTGTTGCTGGAGTAAGATTGATGGCTATTATATGATATTATATTTTGTCTATCAAGCGCTGAGAACATGTTACTTTGCTAAGCCTAGACTCGTTTAAACGTTTTTTATTCAGATTACGTATCACACACTAGTGGAGCTGGTGACGAAGAAATCGCAGTTCAAAACTGATCAAAAGTGATCAACTTATGCAGTTGAATAAGATCTGTGCATCACCAATGTCCTTTTTCAGGCTTCAGAAAGATTTTGAAAAACTCCGTAAGGACAAGAAAGCATGCGAGAACCTTCTCAGCTCGTATCCCAAATTGAAAAGAGGTAAGTGGAAAAAATCTTTGATCAAAGTAAAACAAGGAAATCGTTGTGTGCCAGTTGTGCTCTATCAGTTCACAAGACATCTCTCCCAAAGATGCTTCTGCACCCATGAATATTTCAGTTTTCAAATTGTTTATTTGCATTCCAGGAATATGCTGAGTAATCTTCCAAAGGGCACTTCTCATTAACCACAGTTTATTTGGACTTTTATTGCATAAGATCCTTTGTGTGGTTCGATACAATAAATCGAGGTTAGTCAAAGTGGTGCGGCAGGCTACGCAGATTAGGTGTCAGAGTATTTACACACTCGAGTAATGGAACAGTTTTTTTCTGAGTGGAAATATAGACCTAGAAATTCAGAAACCTAGCAGTAATTCTTAACAAACAATCAGTGGAGTGCAACTCGGCCTTAACTTATTCAGACTTCAAAATCTTACCTACCTTAAAAAAACACAACGTATGCAAAGAACTGTGCAGGCAATGGTATTTGAAAAAGATGCATTTGATGGTAGAACTTGAGCTATAGTGTGCCGCTAACAGAGAACATGAATACCAAATTTCAAACTCAACAATAAATCCCTTCACGCGTCAGGTTGTACATAAGTTTTGCAAGTAGGCCAAAGCGGCAATAAATTAAATTTCTTACATTTGATTTCGTGGTATTAGAGCATAACAAGTTTTACAAGGTAGTGTTCAGACAGTTACTCCAACTTTGATCCACGAAACGAAGCTTGAAGAGAAAATAACAAGAGAGATCCAACTACAGGAAGAAAAGCAAAATAATGTACCCTTCAAATTTAAATATATTAGGTTGTCAAGAAAATAATGTCCGTTTTTATTTGCTTGCTTTAACAAAGCAACCAGACTCAACCCAACAAAGGATAAGGGGTACTGTTCGATAGAGCAAAGCAAGCTCTACAAGATAGCGTTCAAGATTTTGCGTCGTGCTCGATCCACGGAGAGTTCGAACTCAAAATCTGAAGATTTCCAAATGCCAAAAAAATCTTAAAAAATCAGATCTCCGTCCAAATAATTTCTACGGACCTCCCATTCGTTCACATCAATACTATCGATATCTGATATCCATATGTGCGATTGCCGCATTTTTTCCTTGACTAGAAACTGAGAAAACGAAAATTTTCCTGATTTCCTCAAAGCAATGCTGAGCCGTTTTTGCATATGTAGTTCTATACTACAAGCCTAGGTAAGTATAACTGTAGATTTTCAGCGCATTCCAAGCGGTGGTTTTCAAAAAATAACGAATTCGGATTTTTTGGTTTCAGTTTCAGTGCTAATATCAACATTTCTCGAAAAGTACCGCTCGAAACAGGCTGAAAACCTACAGTTATACTTACCTAGGCTTGTAGTATAGAATCATATGTGCAAAAACGGCCCAGCATTGCTTTGAGAAAATCAGGGAGATTTTCGTTTTCTCAGTTTCTAGTCAAGGAAAAAGTACGGCAATCGCACATATGGATATCAGATATCGATAGTATTGATGTGAGCGAGTGGGAGGTCCGTATAAATAATTTGGACGGAGATCTGATTTTTTTTTCGATTTTTTGGGCATTTGGAAATCTTTAGATTTTGAGTTCGAACTCTCCGTGTATCGAGCATGGCGCAAAATCTTGAACGCCATCTTGTAGAGCTTGCTTTGCTCTATCGAACAATATCCATTATCCTATGTTAGGTTGAGTGTGATTGCTTTGTTAAAGCAATCAAATAAAAAACGACATTATTTTCTTGACAACCTAATATTAGGTCGGTGCAAAAGTTTTGTCAGTTTTTTCAATCCATCGGCAGACACGTTATAATGAAGATAAACTAACACTTCAAAATGTATCCGATGCAGAATTTCTTCCTATTTCCAGCTGCTAGACTCCTATTGTGTTTCGTTGCGAGAGTGACGAGATATTTGCTGGAAATCACAACCATTCGTTTTTACCATGTCCAATTTTCACTAATATTCAAAATTTTTGCATGAGACTTTCGGAGGGGCCCTAATAACCGTCAGATAGGACAAACCTTTTGCCAACTCAAACAATTTTTTTCAACTGCTTTTTCAGATTTTTGCTAAATAATTTTCTAAAAGTCTTGTGTTTTGGAAAAATGGCACAACCTGTTATTGCACCAAACACCGCATAACCTACAGAACACTGAGGTTTTGACACTCGTTTTACTACCGCTACCATTACAAAGTAAATGAGCGATTTTCGCTTCAAATTATGAAGATTTTGCAACATAGGTTACGTCAGTGCGTACCCCTGAAATTGAGAAACGCTGCGATTTTCCCACACAATTTTCGCCTGTCTCTGCAAAAATACAAGTGTTAGAAGGAGGAGAAAAAGTTGCATCGAATGGTGACTGAAGTGCTCAACATTTTGTGTTCTACGAAGTTAAAATAGGCTGAATGTAAAACATGATCACCTCAAAAAATAAATCGTAGAAATTTTGGAAGACAAGTTGTAGGGCTACAAAAAATTGCTTCTGTTGGCAAAAGGTTTCCTATGTGCTGGTTATTAAAGCTCCTCAGAAAGTCTCATATAAAAATTTTGAAAATTAGCGAAATTTGGACATGGTAAAAACGAGTGGTTGTAATTTCCAACAAATATCTCGTCACTCTCTCATTGAAACACAATGTGGGTGTAGCATCTGGAAAGAGCAAGAAATTCTGCATCGGATACATTTTGAAGTGTTTGTTTATCTCCATTCTAACGTGTTTGCCGATGGATTGAAAAAATTGGCAAAACTTTTGCACCGACCTAATACAATCCTGTACACACTTTATCTGAAAATCAGAAAACGAAAATCTCTAGCTCTTGAGTATGACTTATGAGTTTAACCTATGGTGTAGGGTGGGCTCTGCGCCTCTTCGCCTAATGCTCGACTGCTATACACATCAGCTCCTTTCCCCCAAAGGACTTCCGCGATGGCGCGTTACGCCGACCCTGTGCAAATATATAAATAGCATAGACATTCATCAAATAATGTGACAGACTAAACTACATACTAATTAGCTTATTTCGCCCCGTGGTATTGTTATACGACAACAATACTACGGAGCGAAATAAGCTCACCCCGGGCTACTCATGGGGACAACTCACTCATACTTTTCCCTAACACACTCTCGCTCTCTCTTGACTTCCAGGCAGGCTGACCCAAAGGGCCGCGCATGCCACCAAAGCATATAGCGCGGCGACTTCAACCCCGCTGACGTTACCGAACAACTTCTAGCCAAGATTCACAGGATTTCTTGCGCGTCCATGCATTACCAAGTGCTCAATGTCTAGATGTTCTATCCTTGATCGTCATCAAACCATCCGATCATTAAGGCATATACTCGCCAGGCGCTGGGACGCGGACACTATGCCAATAGCACAAAACCCGACGGTAATAACAAGAACGACACGCACAAAAATAGAAGTAAACGAAGGAAGAGCCACAGCAGCGTAAGCAGCGCGTGCGCTATTTACAGCCGAGGCTGGAGGGCGCCTGCGTAGTGGTCCGGAATGGAACAGGGTAGCCGACGTTAATGCGCCGCGACCGTGCTCACGACCGAACTGCCGGCAAACACGATGTTCCTGGACAAATGTCAAGAGGAGCGGTCGATCGCGAGCCGCAAGACAGGGCTTACATTACTACCTAATAATTTGAAGAAGGTCTACAAGAGGCTACGGGCAAACAAAGAAGATCGATTCCGTAGTGATCTCTCAAGAGAAAAGAGCCCGAAAATTTCGAATTTTTTACAAACACTCTTACTGTGCAGTGCACAGTAGGATAGTGCACTGTGGCAGTGTGCACGTCCTCTCCTCAGCCCTGCTTGCAATGCAAAATCATGAAAGTGCACTCATATACTAATGAAGGTTGTATACGACTCTGTACACACTTAAAGTTTTCTGATGTAAGATTTAACCGAATCTAGCACTTGACTGGTCAGGTCAGATTCTCCTGGATTCTTTTTCTACTAGCGTTTGGAAACAATTTCTGTCACATCAAGAAGCTGTCCCATAGACAATGTAAACAACCCAACTTGCATGTAAGGTGCATGAGTATGTCACATCAGTGTTTTGTTGACGGTTGACAGTTTATAAATTCTTGGGATTCGCAGTCAAGCTTCAGCGGGTTATGATAAACACCGCCATACCTGTAAACTCGGAAAGAAAAGCTTTATAGTTCCAGCAGATTTGTTGGGTGTACTGGTTGCCACTAAAAGAAATTAAATCGTTGAGAACAACCGAGCAGAATTTCATTCTAGCGTAGTGTATTTGCTCGGAGTTTATGACAAGTGCAGTTTGGTAATGCAAGTGTAATGACAAAAGAAACGATTAGTGCAAAAACCTTTGTGATTTATCTTTATGACGTATTTTCTCACTCTACTTTTAATGCAAAGAAAAGCAATTCCTCTCTCCCGCTTAGAAGAAAGTAAAAAAAATTACAGAGTGCACTTTGATCTCTTTTCACCTAAATTGACCTTAATCCACCTATAGACTGATCATAAATTATCTCCAATTCATGCTCAACTTCAGAACCAGAGGTGCTATAGTCGTAACCGAGTCTCCGCCTACTTTCACTTTTAAGCTGGTACGGGTGACCACCTTCACTTTGGGTTTGAGAAAATTTTTTTGCTGGAGTTCAAAGAAGGAAAATAAGCAAAAGGAACGCAAAAAGTATTGAGAGCATATATTATGTAGTAGGCCGATCTAGGCAGTAACCGCGGAGAACCAGAATTTCGAATGGTAAAATAGCGAAAAAATCATGCGAAATTTCCGATGTTATAAATCTGGTGGTTGAAGATGTCAGCAAATGCGACTTCATAGGTTTTGAAGGGCAAGTATTGTTCTACTATATGTGGGGGGGGGGGGGGGTTCAATGATTTTTGCGGCTCTAACCCAAGGTGGAGACTTTTTACCCCAAAGTCTCCATCTCGCCCATGTTAATGTATTGGCCAGAGACCGCCAGTGGAGACTTTGGAGTGAAAAGATTCCACCCCCGGGCATATGCCGTGGAAGGCGAGAAACCCCCACATGTTATATATCATCTGAAAGCTCTTGAAGAGGAGAATCCAACCTATGAAGTCGAAGCATTAGTCATGCAATTCTGAAGAAGTTATGAGCTGTTGAAATTCAAAAAAGCGCTTTTTACCTGTTTTTTTAAGAGCCTGAATCTCGGCGTTATCTTGATGGATCGGTAAGGCTAAAACATAATCCGATAGAGCAATTCTTACTCTGCAAAACCTATGAAGTCCCAACATTGAATACCTTCATATTCCAGATTTATAGGAGTCTAAACGTCAGCTGTCACTAAGTAACCTGAAATCGCTTAATTATTTAAGATTATCGTTCTCGGCGGCCACTGCCCAGATCGACCTAGTTCTTTCCCTATCTAGTAGAACAATGCTTGCCCTTCAAAACCTATAAAGTCGCATTTGCTGACATCTTCAACCACCAGATTTATAATAGTGGAAATTTCGCATGATTTTACGCTAATTTATTGTTCGAAATTCTGGTTCTCGGTGGTTACTGCCTGGATCAACCTACTTTTTCCGCTGTACGTTATAACAAAATTTACTTAATAAAATTCTTACAGTTTCGCTGAGTTTTACTCCTAAATACACCATTTGATAAGCACTTTATTTTAGATATTTATGCCGCTTTGTACATAAAAAAATGCTTTCAATGATCTCTTTTGCATTTTTTGCTTATATTCCGCGAACAACGACCTGGAGAATAGGCTCAGTCGACGTTAACCCCCCCCCCCCCGGTCGACGTTTTTGGGTGGTGAGTGTCCGGCACTACCACCTTCACTTTCCGGCCAGTGGTAACTGGAACCACCTTCACTTTTGGAGGGCCCGGCTCCACCTATCGCACCTCTGTTCAGAACCCCTTTGCTTTGACAGCCTAATGTAATGTTAGAGAGCTTGAATTTTCTGCAAAGGAAGAGCCACTTCACAGTGCCTAAATTTTGTAATCTAATCGCGACACTGCAATCAACAGCACTATACTATGCTTACGCAATGAAAAAGCTGTGTTCATTCAAACTTCCGCAACATATCTCAGAAGTTGTTTGCGGAATAATGCATACCACTCTGCTTCTGCATTGTGTTTTTGCTCCTTCTGTACGTTTAACTCAGCTGAATTCCACGGTGAAAATGAAGAGAGAAGCTTCTATCAGGAAGCCAAATACCATGTTTGCATACAGTTCAACAAAGTTAAACACGTCATAACCAAGAACATAGAGTCAAAATGCTCGTAATCTTGTGCATCTTTCACAGCGATTCTTATCCAGCTGTTCTTGCAACACATTCTCCTGCCTACCCGTACATTTTTTCAAATAGCATCAACAGATGACCAACCAAAAACATGTCCTAACTTCCTCCTTGCTCCATTTCTTATTCGAGCTACTGAAAGGTATTTCCGACTACGAAAAGACGAAAGTGCCAGCCTCGATTGCCGACTTCATAATGGTGCGCCAGTGTGGCGGGCCCATCTGCTTGAAAGTGCTTAGCATTGACACGCTTTCTATGTTAGAAATCCATTTTCGATTCTTATTTATGTTCTTATTTCAACATATGTTTAATCCTTTAGAAAAGCATTTTTTCGGGACTTTTTATATAGAGTTTCATGTGGATATTTGCAGCTTTTATAGCTGCATTTTTCAGTGTTTTCTTACTAGTGCACCAAAGCTGCCCAAAGCTTTCTGAAGACAAACCGACACAGGCAACATTCCATTTCTTCGCCAGTACGATTTTGAGCAAAATGTCCCGTCTTCGTGATCCAGCAAAGTACATTGTGGAAAATGTTGCTGAAACGAAGGAGTCAGTTACAAAGTCAGCTACAACAGCTACATCGACGAGTTCTAGCGCAGTTTCGTATTCCATTCTGGATACGACTGCTGCGCGTAGAACTCGTCGATGCAGCCTCCGACGAAGCAATGACATCGTGCATCGCAGGCGAGAAACAGGAAAAAACAAATTCCGTGCTTTGTCTGCACGCAAGGTAAGCACAGGCCATTTGAGTATCTGTATAAGTTTCACTCAACATTCCGAAGAAACAACCTTATTCATAAAACCGAATGTCTTTTGTTTGTATGTCTGTCTTTAGGGTTGTTTCAGACTGCCGCAGCAGCTGACTCCGGTCAGCTGCAGCATGCTGCAGCTGACCGCACTGACCGCTACGGCCGCAAAATTGCTGCATCCTTTTGTAAAGGTGCGGAGAATAGTTGTAGCCCAAACAATCAACAACATATGCCTAGACCTTAAAGACAACATGAGCAAGAGTATTACAAAACGATTATACGCAAAAATAGGAGGAATCAGAACAAATACGAGTATACCAAAGAAAAACAATGGTCAAAATTTGATTAAGAAGAGCAAATTAGAACTTGCTAACTTACAAGACGTAAATCACACGTTTTCAATTGTTTCCTCTCTTGCGCATGCAGCGATCTGTGCAGCCGTTGCGGTCAGTGCGTCAGCTGCAGGCTGCTGCTCAGTGCAGCAATATTAAACAACCCTTACGTCTGTAGTATGTTCAGAAGAAAACTCCATTTCTGAACCGAACCGGATCAAACTTTGTTACATACAATTCCGGGCTGTCGTCATAAGCTACTTTTCCTTACCGATCGAATAGATTTTATCAGTTTTTTGCAACAGAGCTATAGGGCTGGAAGTTGACACAGGGAGGAGGAGCATGCTAATTACAAATACATTATTGGGAAGGCCATGCGGAGCCGGGTTTGACATATTAGATGAATGAAGCTTGCTAAGCACGCGAGGTCTCAACAGTTTTCTTAAATTTTGTGCAACCTTGCGGGAATGAGTCCAAAGGCTTCAAGGTTTGTAAAATGTTGACATCTCCTTTTCTTAAATGCTCTCGAGTATTATGTCATCACTCGGCTACTAACAATAAGATATTTAGCTCGCTTTTGGGCGACAGAGTCAATAGAAAAATTCCATGAAATTAGAAAGTATTCAAGATTTTAATTGTATACAGTAAGTGAACACGTAAACTTAAATTTCTCTAACTAATTCCAAATATGGCGAAATCAATATGGGACACGTAGTTTTTCTTGAGTACAGGCATCAGCATGACAAATACACGTAATAGATCCCCATTACAGCGCTCGGAACTTTCTATGTTGGCCGAGCACAGTGCTAAGGTATTTCTTTTTTTCGTAAAGCAAATTTTCCTTGAATTTAGTCGAGTTGTAGAACCATGGGAGGAAGTCGTCGAAGTACTCTATTTCTGGTGACATCTGACCTTCTTTGAGTTCTTCAACCTAGAAAATCGAAATATGCACATTTTATGTATGAATGATGAAACATACCGTAACGGGAGGCCTCGCTTCACAAAGTAGAAGGGAGATGAGCGCTATGACGCATAGGAGCATTTCTGTAAAAAGATAATTGAGTCGACAGGTGACAAATCCGAGAATGCGTGACGGCAGAAAATCACAGCGATATAGTAGAGGGCATTACGTCGCCGAAGGGGCCAAGTTACCAAGAGGACATCTGCCACAATTACGCACCTCTTGCGATTGTTGAGCTGCACATTTGCTGCAGAAGTCCGGGAGATAGTCCTCTACCCCAGCGATATTGACAACCAGAACGGGCGTGATGTAGAACATAAAATCGAAATTTTTCATATGGGTAGGGTATATGGGCACAATTTGGAAGGGGAAGCAACAAATTTTATCTACGGTACGCTCAACCCATTGACGACGATGGGACCACCAGTGCTCCACACCCCCTGCAAAATCATATCCTTTCCAGGTCTAGTATTTTTTCCATAATTCAGTATTTTCCCAATTTTCTGCACTCCCGGACTCTGTAGACTCCGTCATCCAAAAAGATGATTGTAGTTTATCAAAAAAAAAACAGCTTTATACTTTGTAGATAATCACAAAACTTTCCCGTGCCGGAAGTGCTGTGCAAAATCGCGTCGCCTACAGCGCCGCCACGCGAAATCAGGGGTTGTCGTCAATGGGTTAGGTGAATTGCACACCACACGCAGCATCTCACGACTTGCGCCCTTCTGAGTTGCCATTTCGTGTTAAAATTGGCAATTCATAAAGACATTCACAAGGATTTTTCATATTTCAAGGTTCTCATGTCAGTATAGGAACAAATAGGTGTAATTGATATTTTCTGACAGTTTGATGCATTATAACTGCTGCATTGACTGTTTACAATTACTAGTCGTCGGGTTCCACGTATGGTGTGCGAACTCACGTAACAAATTAGAGAATCATGAGCGTAAAGCTGCCAAAAAGAAGTAAACTCCTTTGGAAATTTGGATTGTCCGTATTTCATGTAATTCGAAGAAAAGTTGTAATGCAGCGGAGGTAACAACATGATGAGAAGATTGACAGTCCAGCCTTGACCTAATAAGAATCCATCAATGATTAACTGCAAGTGGCGAATTGGGGTCTGACTAGTAAATTTTCATTGTGAAATGTTGCAAGTGGAAAAGGGGAGGCTGATTCAAACAAACCTGGCTACCTAGGCTTCTTATGTCAGAACTTATCAAAAGGCTTCATAAATTAGATTTCCAGCTCATATAAATCATTCTTAGACGAGAAAATCGGCTCTAAACTTTCGCCCACTACCGTACTTCACCTAATTGACGTGCTCGAGTATGCGGTATAGTGGGTGAGAGTTTAGTGTAGGCCTTGTCAACTAAGAATGAATCATGTAAGCTACCTCTTGGCCAGTGGCTTCGTTAAAAGCTCCCAGTTAGTCCCCACTCTTCAAATTTGTGAAGAAGTTGCTATCGCAAACTATTCCGGGTTTGTTTATGATTGAAAATTTGTCAAGTTGAAAATAGGGAAATTTATCAAATGCAGACAAATCAATCACAAGTAACACAACAAAACATTCTTAGTAACACAACAAACGATCACGACTTGAACAAAGTGCGTTAAATTTTAAGAGTTATAATAACGTATCAACAAATGATGACCGATGTCTGACTGCTGTGATAATCAAGTTACGTTGATGGCATTGAGAAAATCACGAGAAGAATTTCTTTGGCAGTAAAAGAACCATACATCAAAATACGATAATCGTTCATTTTCTCCGATCTCGAAACTTGGCTCAAATAGCAGATTGAAAAGCGACCTTGATATTTGACGTAGAACTTAATTGAAGTTGATAAGAAGCAATCAGTCTATTGCAAAATGAGCGAGCTGATCTTTTCTGAATTGTTTGCGCACTTCAAACCGTTCTTGTAAAACGGAAGTTGAGCGAGCACATTTACACTCAAGTGTTGTATACATGAATAGAATAATTCGTAGAGGAAAAACATTGAAATGATATTGGATGACTGATAGAAATGATATTGAATGAACTGCTTGGACTGCTTGTAAGTGGCGTAGCTACTTGAACAGTGGATAACTCTTGACACAAGTTATGACTTGGGAGATATAAAAAATGATCCAATCACCAGATTGTAGACTCAGTTTTATCTCTCTAGATCACTTTCCAAGGTCCAAGTGAAACCGCCGGCTACCTACGAAATCCTTAATTTGCCATTACATAGCATTTTAGAAAAAATTAAAGTCTTAGTTTTTGCGTAGAGTGCGAACTATGCGAGGTCTCGTTTTATCATCGTCATATGTACAACAATGGGGTACCAAGAGAATACCCCCCCCCCCCCCAAAAAAAACGAGCCTCTAAATGTGGACTACCTGAAAATTTGAAGTTGTGCAAAAATCATAAGCAATTAAACGAAACTATTTCATAAGGGTCTTGTTGATAAAGAAAATTATTCTATTCCAAAGTTTTGGGCTTGCAAATTATCAACTTTCAGTACTTCCAAAGAATTATTCAAAGAGTTAGTGTGACCCATCCACCCCGAAAAAAATGTTGGATTCTCCATCGGTACTGAAACAAATTTTAGAATTTGTTGTAAAAACAAAAGAGCATATTGCCATTGTTAATTTATATCATTTGGTACCTCAGCTAGGAATCACAAGTTTCATTTATCAATTGAACACTCAGCAGAAATCATTGGAATCATAATAATGAAAAAGAAGAGTGTTCATAAAGATTGTAGGTCAAGAAAAAAACATACGATTATTTAGCCCCTCCCTCCCTCCCTCCCCCCCCCCTTTCTCTTCCTCAGTTCTTTCTCTTTTTTCCTTAAATGTGCATGGACTATCAAAATAGCTTTCCAGCCTCGGGCATTGTTCACGCGACTTTATCGCCTCGCAGTTCCCCTAACAAGACAACTGTTACGAGTCCATTGCATGCGTAACCAACTTGCATTTCGGTTGTGGTAGTTTTCCAACACTACTAATTGTGACTACTATCACATCCGAAATGCATGGTGATCGACATGCAATGGACTCGTAACAGTTGTCTTGTCCGGAAAATCGCGAGGCAACGAAATCTCGCAAATTATGCCCGAGGCCTAGGAGACATTCCTTTGCCGCCCAGTCCGTCACATTCATTTGGAGACATGTAGGCTATGTGAAGCTCAATTCTTCGCGCATAGCTTCTAGCACCCCGTGCAAGGCGATTGGAAACGTTGGGTCCCAAAGCGTACGAGCTTGTCAAAAATGATTATGAGAGCGCATAAAGTAACCGTTGTATTTTCTCTTGACATCCCATGCTAGCTTAAAGGTAGGCTTGGGGCAATCAGATTTTACATAATGTACAAATTTGAAGTAAGGTATTGGAACATCCATACTCTCAGATAATGTGTTTACAAGCTAAAAACGTCTTTCTCTTCGCAATTAAAACTCCAACATCATTTTTAGTATCACGCCAAATGTCTTACCAAAAGCAGCTAGTTCTGCTTCTTTTCGCCACGTTAAGAGAGCAAATCACCAACGGTCATCAATTACGTGAAACCTGAGTGGTTGGCATGTCTCTGTTGACTAGCTGTGTGTTCTGAGAGAGAAAGATTTTTCTCATCAAAACATATCGTGCAATCAGGCGACGCATTTGCAAAACCCAAATAGGCTAAGATAATCGTATTACAACAAACTTATAATGCAAGAATTCACTGCGCGGAAGAATCGTAAAGTTGAAGTTAAAGGTGTAGTTTTTTCGAATCATTGGCAAGCCCCATCAGTATTAATCTTATATATAAAGCTGAATGTCTGTTTGTCTGTATGTCTGTCTGTATGTATGTGTGTACGTATGTTCCGAATAGAAAATTCCATTTCTGAACCGATCCGGACCAAACTTGGCACACATACACTACGGGCCCCGGCGGGTGTCATAGGCTACTTTTCGTCATCGATCGATATCGATTTTATCGATTTTTATCGATTTTTTTGCTGAGTTCACCTACGGGGCTGGGAGTTGGCACAGGGGGGTAATCGAACATGGGGATTCCGAATACAATATTGGTTTTCAGGATTATCGATTACTTTTATCGATTTTATCGATTTTTTTGCAAAGTTTGAGCTACGGGGCTGGGAGTTGGCACAGGGGGGTAATCGAGCATGGGGATTCCGAATACAATATTGGTTTTCAGGATTATCGATTACTTTTATCGATTTTATCGATTTTTTTGCAAAGTTTGAGCTACGGGGCTGGGAGTTCGCACAGGGGGGTAATCGAGCATGGGGATTCCGAATACAATATTGGTTTTCGGGATTATCGATTACTTTTATCGATTTTATCGATTTTTTTGCAAAGTTTGAGCTAGGGGGCTGGGAGTTGGCACAGGGGGGGGGGGGGTAATCGAGCATGCTGATCACCCCCAAGGGGGGTGATCAGCATGCTCGATTACACCCCTGTGCCAAATTCCAGCCCCCTAGCTCAAATTTTCAAAAAATCGATAAATTCGATAAAAGTAATGGACGATCCTGAAAACTAATATTGTATTCGTAATCTGCATGCTCGATTACCCTCTGTGCAAACTCCCAGCCCCGCAGGTCAAACTTTGCAAAAAAATCGATAAAATCGATAAAAGTAATGGACGATCCTGAAAACTAATATTGTATTCGGAATCCCCATGCTCACTTCCCCCCTGTGCCAACTCCTAGCCCTGTAGGTGAACTCTGCCAAAAAATCGATAAAATCAATAAAAGTAATCGATAATTCTGAAAACTAATATTGTATTCGGAATCCCCATGCTCACTTCCCCCTGTGCCAACTCCTAGCCCTGTAGGTGAATTCTGCAAAAAAATCGATAAAAATCGGTAAAATCGACATCGATCGATAACGAAAAGTGGACTATGACACCCGCCGGGGCCCGAAGTGTATGTGTGCCAAGTTTGGTCCGGATACGGCGGAGCCGGGTAAGCCAGCTAGTAGTTTTATATAATTTGAAATTCTTATTTGAGAGTTTTTGATTTTTTCATGCCTTTAAAGTGGATAGGGAATTACTCTATTTTGATTATCTAATTAATAAGTAATATTAATTATTTATTTATCTCTTTCAACACTTTTTGCCTTCTACAAACCAATTAATTAAGTTTCCAAGATAGGTAACATATAACTTTTCGAAATATAAGTTTTCATACAAATAATTAGGAAGATTTTGAGACAGCTTCGGAAAGTACCTGAAATATTTCTCACTCTCCACTTTAAATGTTGTACGAAACGATATTGAACATTCTAAATGTTCTTGTATGCTTTCTACTGTTTTTCTAGTCACT